GAGACGGCCGATCGTTCAAGGTTGAGCGATCCAGCGCGGTGTCAGGAACCAACGCCTGGGTCGACACGACACGAACCTGCCGTATCGGTTGTGGCACAAGTGGATGTTGGGATTGGAACGCGCTCCCGCCTCGCAAACGGAAGGCGTTCGCTCGCGGCCCCGCTTCCGACGATTTTCAGGAGGGAAAAGACATACACAGGCACAATGAATCCTCGACCTCCAGGGAAATATGGGAAAATATGGAAAGTGGGGGGGGAAGACAGAAACCCAGAAGATATGGGGAAATATGGGGAATCTGTTTATTTGTGTGTATTTATTTGTGTGTCCTGGGGCCCCTTAAGATTTGGCGAAAAGACAATTGCGCGGGCCGCGCAGGGGCGGGGGCGGCAAAACCTCCGATGGGCGCGGCAAAGACAGAGCACGCGCCGCGCTGACACAGCATTGCCACTTCCACTCACAAGCTCCGTTGCGCTTGGACGAGGTCGGCCTTTCGCCCGCTCTCGCGCCTCTGCTGCTGCCGCTGTCCTTTTGATGCGCCTCGGCGAGCGAACTATGCGCTGCGCCCGCGCTGGACCGAGGACGCCGACTGCGGTAATCGCCTGCGGCTCCCCTACGGGAGCCTTGAGCGACTCGGGTTGTCAGGGTTATCAGAGGTCTGGGGCAACGACGAAGATTCGCTCGAAAAATGCGCGCCGCGCCCAAGAGGAAGCTCAACTCTCTACAAAGATGAGCGCGGCGCCGAGGCGAGAGCGACATTCCGACCTTTCGCGCGGGGTGTGCGTTCCGTTCCGCTCCTGCCACGCATTTCGCAGCATGGACGACACCATGCCCATGTTGAGACGCTGGCTGGCCCAAGGGAGGGGGCATCGACCCCCAATCGCCCACTTATGGCCAAGCGGGCGGGGCACGGGCCTCCCACCCCACCCGGGGACGTGCGGCTCTTCCCTCGGGCGCTTGCCGTCGCCGATCCCTCGGGGTGGTCCGGGGACTCCTCTGAGAGAAGCCATGGCCTGATGAGCTGCGCACGCGTTTGTGCTTTGATTCTCGCGGTAAGCATTGCGATTTTTCTGGGACCAAGCCACGAAGTGTAGTTACCTGGCATGTCCATGTCGGTTCTTCAGCGCGAGGCCGAAACACACAAGCATGTTCATGAATTGTTTATGGCCGACAGTTCGCGCATCCCCACCAGTGCATGTAGAAATAATGATCTCCAGGAGGGTTGCTTGGTGATCAGGGAGTGTTAGCACTATGCTGTCCTAGAGAGAGCCAAACATGTTTGCGCACATCTTTCGAAGGAGGAGGATGAGGAAGGAGGTGGAGGAGGAGGATGGCGAGCGGAAGGAAGATGATGTTGTGTGAACATGTTCCCACACACACCTTCAGGTGATCCCGAGGTGGGAGGAGGAGAAGGAGGAGGAGGAAAAACACGACGAGGAAGAGGAGGACAAAAGAGGAAGAGGATGAGGTGGAGGAAGAGGTGGAGGTGGAGGTGGGCGGAGGAGGAGGAGGAGGAAGAGGGAGGAAGATTGTGACAAGGACGACGACTGGAGTCAACCATCAAAAACCTGCGCAGCTCTTTCGCTCTGGGGGCCTCTTGGAGTCAGATTGGGACCCAAATTGGGGACTTTCGGGGAGCATTCGGTGCTCTCTCCGTGCTCTCTTGGGGCTTTGAGGGGCCCTCCCGACAGCATCTCTCGGCACGTCGAGAGGAGCACTCTGACAATTAGCCTCGACCCGTCGGAGCCAGGAGCCCTGTCTCGTCAGGCCCTCTTGGCACGCAAGCGGGGCCGTGTGTTGGGGCTTCGGGCTAGCTTTGGACCCTCTTGCTGGGAGATATGCGAGCCATCTCGATGCCTCAGAAGCCCATCGGAAGCTAACAGGCGAGAAGGCAACACACACACATTTTCACATGCACGCACGCACGCACGCACGCACGCACGCACGCACACACACACACAATACACACCCACACCGACAACACACCACAACACGATACGCACAATATAACCTATTACAAGACACACGACACGCGCGCGTCAACTTCAGTTTGTTTGCAGATTTGGTATCTCGGGGGGGTGATGTTGGGAGGCTTTGCGGCCACTTGGAACCGTATCGGGGCCTTTCGAGGGGGCATGCTGGAGGCCACCGTGCGCTGTCTCGTGACATTCGGGAGGCAATGTCACGGCCATCTGAGAACATACGGTCAAGATCTCTGGCCTAGCGTGCCGCTCCGCCGGTTCTGCCCCACCACGCCTCGGCGCGACACGCCAACCATCTCTCCAGGCCCGCAGGCGTCAGCGTTCCGAGCCTTTCGAAGCCTTCCGCCCCGCGGAGCGGAGCGACACGCCATCAGCTCGCAAGGTGCAGCGCGTCGCCCAGGGCACCGCCGCGACACGCTGAGCAAAACGACTTGACAGTATGGGCTGCATTCAACATACATGGCAAGGATGCGCTGCTTCATCCAGGCTGCCCTTGCATCCCTGCTCCTTCGGCCCATCCTCAGCACATGCTGGCGCCCAGGGAGCTCCAAAACGCCAAACGGGACTCTTCTGAGAGCCTCGCACCCTCGCCCTGCATCTCTACTGCGGACCTCTCGACCGCATACCGGGCCATCGTCACGAGGGCCAGATACGCGGTCGAGCAGTGAATCCGCTGCAGCACGTCTGCAAGGTCGGTGCAGTGACTCGTTCGGGCGAAGAGAACGATGCACATGCACCGATCCTGGCGAGGCCCACCCTTGACCCAGGATCGGTGCACATGCCTTCCTGACCAAGGCAGGAGGGCGTATGCACCGATCATGGGCTCAGGATGGGTCTGGCCAGAATCGGTGCATGTGCATAGTTCTCTTTCCTCTACTCGTGGCCCCCCCGCGCAGTCCCGGAGGTCGGCGCCCCGGGCGCAGGCCCCGCACCGCCCCCGGCCCCGCACCCGCGGCGTGCTGCGGGTCGGCCAATGGGCCGCGCGCGGCCGCGGCGGCGGGGCCGCCTCGGGGCCCTGGCGGCGCTGGCGGCGGCGGAGGCGGGGCGGGCCGGCCCTCCGGCGGGGCCCTTCGTGGGGCGCCCGCCCGCCATTCGGCACGAACGGAACGGGTACGGAAAGAATGGGTACGATGCCCAACAGCAGTTCCTGATCATTTGAAAGAGCGTGTTCTACCGCTGCTGGCGGAAAACCGGGGGGGGTCACTACCGGTTCGAACCCCTCCCCCCCCCCCCCCCCCCCCCCGGGGGGGTCACTACTGGTTCGAACCCCTCCCCCCCCCCAGTTCATCATGAAAAGGGGGGGGGGTCACTACCGGTTCGAACCCCCCCCCCCCCCCTCGAAAACCGAGTGGGGGTGCGGACAGTGGTGGGGACGGTGTTGGTGGGGACAGTGGTGAGGGGACAGCGGGACAGTGGTGGGGACAGTGGGACAGTGGGACAGTGGTGGGGACGGTAGTGGTGGGGACAGTGGTGGGGACAATGGTGGGAACGGGGGGGACAGTGGACAGTGGTGGGGACGGTGGTGGTGGGGACAGTGGTGTGGGGACAGTGGGAATGAGGTGGAAACAGTGGGACAGTGGAGGGTACAATGGTGGTGGGGACAGTGGTGAAGGCGGTGGCGAGGACGGCGGTGGGACAATGGGACAGAGGTACAGTGGGGACAGTGGTGGGGACAGTGGGGACAGTGGTGGGAACAGTGGGACAGCTCAGTGGGACAGCGGAGGAGTCAGTGGGACAGCGGGGACAGTGGGGATAGTCGGGCAGTGGTTGGGTCCGTAGAGACAGTGGGGAGAGTGGAACCGTGGTGGGAACAGTGGTGGGAACAGTGGGGACAGTGCGACAGTGGTGGGGACACTAGGGACGGTGGTGGAACCAGTGGGGACAGTGGTGGTGAGGACAGTGGTGCTGGGAACAACAGTGGGATGTGATGTGGACGGTGGTAGGGACCGGGAGTCGTTTGCTGGCGGTGCGTGGGGGGAGGGGGGTCGAACCGGTAGTGACCCTCCTCCGGTTTTCGAGGGGGGAGGGGGGGTTCGAACCGGTAGTGACCCCCCCCCGGTTTTCGAGGGGGAGGGGGGGGGGTTAGGGGAGGGGGGGGTTTGCGGGGCAGGGGGGGGGGGGATTTTCGGGGGGGGGGGGGGGGGGCGACCCCCGGGTTCCGGAGGAAGAGGCTGGCAATTTTCCACAGTAAAGCGGCGGTGGATCACGCTCTCTCGATCATTTTGAACAGGGCTCGCTGTCGGTGTCGCCGCGGCCTGTGCCCACTCGAGACAGAAGGCCGCCTGCCCCACAGCGGCCGCTGTTGGTTTGGGACAGCATTTGCTGTTGGGCATTGTACCCACTCTCTCCGTGCCCATTTCGGGCGTCCAGAGCCATGGGGGAGGGGGAGGCGGGCCCTGAGGGCACCGTCGGGGGCGGGCCCAGAGGGGGTGGATCTCACGGCGGGGGCCACGAGATCTCCCCAGATTTTATGGCGCCTCTTCCTGTTTCAGTACCTCCCCGGCCCCCCCCCCCCCCCTGGGCCGCGCACATGCCCCCGGCCATGATTTGCGCGCCCCCCCCTCTTGGCCGCCCCCGGTGCCGGGAGCGGGTCCGGTCCTGAGGTCTGCTTCGCCGTCTTCGGTCTCTCGGGGCCCTCCACCGGGCCCCAGGGAGTGTCAGAGAACGGCCCTGGAGGAAGAGCTCTGGTGCGGGGCGAGGCCCCCAGGGTCCAGGATAAGCTCGGGCGTGCCCCCCCACTGGCGGAGTGCGGACGACAGGTCAAAAACAGTCAACACAAGTACCACCGCAATACACCAAAATACCAAACAAATCGTCCCCGGACTTGTTTGTACCATCTTTTTGGTCCGGGCGAGGCGTGGCGGATTGCGGACGAGAAGTCAAAAACAGTCAACACACGTACCCCCGCAATACACCAAAATACCAAACGAATCGTCCCCGGACTGTTTCGTACCATCTTTCTGGGTACTCCCCCTTGTGGAGGGACAGGCCCGACTCGAGTCCAGGACCCATCTCCCTCAGGACCCGTTTCCCCCCCTCCCTCCGCTCATGGGGCGCCCGCGGCCGCCGCCGCAGCGGGGTCGCGGCGTTGGGCTGCCGCGCGGGGCTGCGAGGGAGGACTCTGTCGGGAGTCGCGGAAGAGGTGCCCCCTACAGCCCAGGGCGCCCCCCGCTCTCCTCAAGGGGAGGAAACAACCACCCAGGAGCGGACCATTGGCGCTTACGAAGCGGCCCTGGGCGTTCACTAAACAGCCTTGCGCTGTTTGATTTCTTGTTTGGGGTGCGTTTCCTCAACGGCTTCGCGCGTCGGGGTGGTTCTTGTCGGGGTGGATTTCCTGCCTTCTATTTTCGCTCCATTGTAGAGCCCCATGGGGCCCCCTGGGCCTCGCGTGGGGGTGCTCTGGAGGCCGTGGGGGCCTCCCCTGTAGATCCTGAGGGGCGCCCTGGGGCCCGGGGCACTTCTCGCGACGCCCGACTCCGGGCCTCCCGAGCGGAGTCCGATCGGGTGAGGTCGGAGGGTGGGGCCGCATCGCCGATGCGTCGGCGATGCGGCTCGATGTGGAGCCCGATTCGACCAGCGCCGACGTCGCCGATGCACCGCCGGCGTCGCCGACGCATCGGCAGAGTGGCGAAATCGCCCGACCCCGCCTCCTCGGACCCCGTTTGGGAGACTTCTGAAGATGGCGGCCCCTCTCGAGGAGGAGAGAGCGGCACAAGCATAGCCTTTTCGGAGGTCCGCGCAGATGTCTTGGATGTGCGCTGGGCCCGCCTGGCGGCGCCTCCGCGCGCCAGGGGGAAGGGGGTCCAGCGCCGATCCAAGGCGTCCGCGCGAACCTTCGAAAGTTTATGTGTGTGCAGCTTGTTCTTCCTCCACCCTCTGAGGACGAGGTCCGCGACTGTCTGAGGCTTGTGCGCGGGAGACTTCCTGAACTGGGTGGTGCAAGAGAAACGGCGGCGGCCGTCTATCCGCCGTGTTCGGCTCTATGACGCGGTTTCCCAGCCCCGCGACTGTCAATAAAATCTTCGGGATGAAAGCCAGCCTTTGGGAAGGAGTCGAGATTCGAGCTGATAGCAGGTGGTCAGCCAGAGCGCCGGATCTTGCAGGATCTTGCAGAGCTACGGTTGCATTGGCCCAGGTTTGCGTGCAGGATTTTGGCAGGATCCTTCAGGATCTTGCAGGATCCTGCAAAGTCTGACTGACCCGGGTTTGCATTGACCTGGGTCAGTGCGTCTATGAGAGATCCCCGAGGCTTTCTGCACGAAAGTATCCGACGTCGGAGCAGGGGGCACATATTCATATTCACGGCTCCTCGGCTGCGACCCTACGGGTACAGGGCAGACTTGCGCGGATGCTCCACGTCGAACGTGTCAAGAGGATCGCGTATATATCTATATTGTCGCGCCTCAGACTGCGAGGGCATGGATGTGGATATGTTCGTCGCCCGTGAGGCTGCCGAGGGCGTGCAGGGGGCGGAGTCGTGCCAGCGGAGGCACTGGCGACCGAGGCGACGGCAGTCTGGCCGAGGACGATGCGTGGGTGCCCACCTCCCCAGCACGCGCAGATGATGACAACGTGGCGAGCATCGTCGCCGTCGTGTTGGTGTTGTGTTGGGTGTACATTGGCAGGTACATGTACGAGTGCGTTTACCTGACAGGAGGTATTAACGTCCCGGGCGGCTTCTGTGCATGGGAGACGCGGTGGTGGTTGGAGAGTTTGGTGACCCAAAGTTCCGGCTGATGCAGGCGGTCGCAAGAGAGGCAGAACACATCTCTTGCTTGACCTCTACCGTTACTGTCTCCATTGCCGTTGTCGACATCTCTTGTTTGCGAAAGTGTGCCAATAGTAGTGCCGTTCTACTTGTTTACATTGTATCGTTTCGATCGGTGTTGCCGTCATTTCCTCAGACTTACAACAGTGCTGGAGTTTGTGAAGCTGTTCTGCGCGCTTCGGAATACTGGTCGTCGCTGTGGTCGAGGTCGTGAGCGTTGTCGTTGCGGTCGTCTTGTGCATTGTCCCGCTGGCTGCTTCTAGACGAGCACAGAGCTCCGAACGCTGCATTTTATTCAAGGCCTCTTTCCCTGCTGGGGTGGGGTGCCCATTACATTGACCCACGATCCCCGCCCCCAGCCTTCCGCCCGAGGGGGTCTTGGAACCGAGGCACCCACACCTCCAACAGAAAATCTGGCCATACAAAATGGCTGCGTTGTGAGACTCATGGACCTCCTTACCCCCGATTCTGATCCGAGGCGGAGGCGGACAGGCCTACCTTGAGACTCTACTCGATGGTACTGGGGTCCAGGGCACTTGCCGTTACGGAGCCAGTCCAAAACCCAAAACTTCTTTGGGCCACTCTGGCAGTGGCTTCACACCCAGGAGGGACCAACCTTGGAAAGCTGGTGCCCCGAAGATTTCTCGAGATCCTTCCTTACGCGCCAGGCTGCGGGCGTACGGTGGACCTTACGCGGGCGGTTTTTGCGCTCATAGTCTGCACTAGCAGCAGCCGCATTAACGATAGCTAGCCTCCTCTGGACCAACCACGATTTGAATTCCGCACGCGCAAGATCTCTGACCTCTGGGTCGATCTCTTATGAGACTCGTTGTACTCCTATCTTGGCGAGTTTATCTGCAAGGTCTTTGCCTCGCGCTACACTTACTCAGCATCACCCGTCGACCTGGAGCTTCAGAAAATACTCGATTCCACCAGCCTCTGAGTTCTCCCGGAATCTCCGAGAAGCCATGCCAACCGTCGTACACGATCTGATTGTCGGTGTAGAGCCATGAGCCCGTTTCTTTATTGTTTGGGGCATGACGGGCGTCATGGCCCCCGCTCCCCCCCCCCTATGACGTATCGTTCCCCCCCCCAGTGCGCTCCGGGCACTGCCGCCGTGCGCATTGGGATCCGCGTAGGTGTCCGCGTAGGAATCCGCATAGGTGTCTGGTCCGCAGGCGTCGTCGTCGTCGTGGTCGTCGTCGTCGTCGTCGTCGTCGTCCGTCGTCGTCGCTCGTGGTTCGTCGCTCGTCGCTCATCGTCGTCGTGCGCGCGGACGCGGCTGGAGCCTGTTTTTTAGCCCGGGCCGATGACGGCAATCATCTGGGGGGGGAGGGGGTCGATGACGTCACGGTTCGCGCCGGCGGCGTCTGGGAATGCTGAGGAATGACGGAGGACGGGTAGCACGAACATGTAGGTGGCGATATCCACCACAACGCCTGTGTACATCACAGTGCCCGCGTGCACCGCAGCGCCTGTGTACACCACAGCAGCCGCGTGCAACACAGCGTCAGTTTGTGCCACCGCGCCTGCGGGCACAGGAGCTCTTGCGTACACCACAGCGCCTCCGCACCCCACATCAGCCGTGCGCAACACAGCACCAGTGTACACCACAATGCCTGCGTGCATTGCAGTGCCTGTGTACGCCACGGCGCCTGTGTGCACCACATCAGCCGTGTGCAACACAGCACCATTGTTGTATATAGAATTTCAGAAGGGATCCTTGTGACAAAATGGTGGATTCCAGAGAAAACAATTGAAAACAAATCCTCATGGACAAAGGAGCGCCGCTGGAATTTACGAGTCCCCCCGAGTCCGCCCGCATCACCCTAACTCCCATTTGCGTCCAGGAGGCTCCAGCTAAACTGGCCGTCCGAGAACCAAGTGGACCGATTCAATCGACCATTCTGCGGTGCACGTTGAGATGCGCACGTGCGTTGTAACGCCAAGCCGCACGACAGGGGGTAAGAAGGAGGAAAAGGAGGAAAAGGAGGAGGAGGAGGAGGTGGAGGAGGAGGGAGGAGGGGAAAACGTCGCATTCGATTATCAGAACTTTTCTGGCGTGGCGTTTAGTTGTCCGCAGCAGATGCTGACGTACATGCTCCTTCTACCTGTCCTGTGCACGCAGGCGCTGTGGTGTACACCAGCGCTGCGTTGCACGCGGATGTTGTGGTGTAAACAGGCGTTGTGGCGTGCACAGGCGCTGCGGTGCACGCAAGCACTGTGGTGTACACAAGCGTTGTGTTGCACATGGCTGCTGCGGTGTATGTACACCGGCGCTGTAGTGCTCCCAAGTATTGTGGTATACACGAGCGGTGCGTTGCACACGGCTGTTGCGGTGTACGCAGGCGCTGTGGTGCACTCGCGCGGTGTGGTGCACGCGAGCGTTGTGGTGCACACAGGCGCAATGGGCAGATCACCACTTACATGCTGCTCGCGTCGTCGTCGTCGCTCGTCGCTCGTCGCGTCGTGCGCGCGGGCGCGGCTGTGGTGCCGGAGCCACTCGGCGGGGGGGGGGGCGTCACGTCATACCCCCCCCGCCCGCCCCCCCCGCCCTCCCCCCCCCCCATGACGCCCGCCATCGCCGAACATAAAGAAACGCGCTCCATATAGGCCCCCTTGGTAAATTTCAAGGCCCACCAGAGGGCCGCAAGCTCGGCACACGGGACCGTCTGGGCTCCGTCTATTACCCGCACGGTCCTGGCCGAGGGGATTCAGGGTCATCTTTTTCAACGCAGGCCGCGGCCTGGGCAAGGTAGACGCCCCAGTCCGCACGCGCAATGCGCGCGTCGCTGCTCGAAGCCGAGCCGTCCAGGAAGGCCAGCTTGCACTCGACGCCGTTCTCAAAGTGCACCGTGCCGTCGAGCGACACAGTCGGCCCGTCCCAGTCGATGTAGAACGGCAGGCAAGGTGTGTCCCACGAAGGAGGAGGCGGCACAGGGTTCCACGTGGATGGTAGCAGCCCTTAGCCACAACTCCAAGTTGGCCCCATTGGTGATGTCCCGAATTGCTTCCTCACATAGCTTGGCGCTCTGACGGATCCAAGGGTGATCTTGAGCGCACGTGTGAGGGCAACTCCAGAATTGGTGGGCCATCGTCTCTTTCTGACCCGCCGTGCATCGAGTACATACACCATTGCATTCGTAGCCTTCAGCGCGGCAACGTTCTTCAGTCCAAATTGTATTACACAACACTGCTTCAAGCGCACCAGCTTCTCGATTGGAATCCGTTCGTCGCATCCTCTGGAGCGTTCTCAGGGCCGACGTGAGATCTGGCGTGGACCCCCACTGACCTCCATGTCGATCTCTGGCTGCTTGTTGCCACAACTCCTAGATGACGTCAGCAGTGATGAGGGCCATGAGCTGGGTGGCGTCGTCTGACTGTTGGTAGGCGTCACCTGCTGCAGGTAGCTGTTCTTGTCGAACTGGTAGCTGCTGAGTAGCAGTCCCGCTGGCAGCATCCGGAGACTTGACAGAGTGTCCAGCTCCGACGACGGCATCGTGTCCACGAGTATCTATTGAAGTGACACCACCATTCGATAACTGTATGAACTCGGTGCCCTCCTCCATGTCCTCGAAGGGGTCGTGGTCGTCGTCCACGTTGGTCGCAATCGGCTGTGGTTGGCGATCTGCAGCCTGGCGATCTGGTACTTGTTGAAGTGAGGCTGCTTCAGGCTGAGCCACCATTACAAGCTGAGCAATGAGGTGGTCGTGCACGTCCGCGGCCTGGTCATCGTCGCTGTCTGGTTGACGTGGAGCTGGAGGCCGTCGTACGTCGGGCGCATTCGTACCCAAGATCCCCCTGAACATAGCCCTGATGTCTGTCAACATTCTCCAGTGCCTGCGTTCTCGCCCGCACGCACGCACGGCACGCACGACACGGCACGCACGACACGAACCCGAAGCCGAAATCGATTTCCCGGTAGGGGGGGTCTCCGTTTCACGTCGGACTCACCCCCCAACCTCCGATGTCTTTGTTGTTGTTTGTTGTTCCCTGGGCGGGCCCGAACCCAATCAGCTTCGTTCGCATTCCCACTTCATGTGTCCACCTCAGAACCGTTTCGTTGTTTGGTTTGTGCCTTTGTTTGTTGTTCATTTCGTGTATGTTGCTTCGTGTCGTTGTTCGTCGCTGGCTTGAACGCCTCGCTTCGTTCGTCGTCATGTTTGGCATCGGGGTTAGTTCTGAACGTCCGTGGTAAGCGTTGGGCATCTTTTCGCTGTGCGCTGTAGAGCGCCATCTCGTTTTCAGTATCGCCGTGGTCGGTCCCTGCTTTGCTTCGTGTTTTCTGTCGGGCGTTCTCTCCTTCGGGCCGAGACGGCGGCGGCCCCCGCGGCCAGGACATGGTGGTCGCACACTTCACGGGCATGCCCAAGGCGCGGCCCGCCGCCGCCCCGGCCCTTGCGCGGCGCGCCGCAGCTGCAGCCCTAGGGGAACAAAAAGTGGCATAAACATAAAATCTCGGAGGTCCGCGCGGATTTCTCGGATCGGCGCTGGACCCTCCATGGCGCGCGGAGCGCGCCAGGGGCGGCGCCGGAGGCGCCGCCGGGGGGCCCCAGCGCCGATCCGAGAAATCCGCGCGGACCTCCGAGTTTTTCTGTTTATGTCACTTTTTGTTCCCCTAAGCCCGTCGCCTCCTCTGAGACCCAGGACGGGGAGAAAAACGACACCTGCACAAAGAAACGTCGATGCCCAAGCAAGTATTGAGATACGTGGGAATCTTGAAAGTTGTGCCGATTTGTTTGTAAGTCGACTCTCGCTCCTCAGAGGCCCAGATCTCCTGCTGCGATGCGTTCTTGTTCCCAGCGAGGCGCTCTGCCTCTTGGGCCCCCCGTCGGGCGGGGCGAGAGGACAGGGGAGTGTCGATCTGGAGCGCTCCAGGGCGCTCTCGGGGCGTTCCAGGGCGCTCTGGAATTATGTCGGGCCTGTCCCCCTACAGGGGTATTTTCGACGAAAAATAACAAATACCCCAACAATAATCAAAAAATACTTCAAAAATAGTCTGGGGGATATTTTTTGAGCATTTTTTCCCCTTTTTGGAGTATTTGGGGGGCATTTTTATTTTTTCGTCGAAAGTCCCCCTGTAGGGGGACACGCCCGACATAACTCTGGAACGGCAGCGGCGCCCGACACATCTTTCACACCGCCAGACGTCAACGATTCCCGATTTATCCTGGTCCGATCTTGTCCTTGTCCTGGCCTCGTCTTAACCTGGGGCGCGCCAACAGGCTCTGGGGATTTTTTGGGGGCTCCAGGACACAAAACTACCCACGGGGAAGGGGTCCGGACCTCGTGGGCCGCGCATTGACAATCGGGCATCTTGGGAAAGCAACGGCACACCACCTCCACGCTTGACCAGGGCCAGCCTGGGCCCCAGGATGGTGTATTGTCCCACCTGGCCTCGGCCAGGAGGGCGTATGCACCATGCCAGGGCCAAGGATGGCCCTGGGCAGACATATCGGTTGCGTTCACGTTGCAACCCCGTCTTCCGTGCAAGGGAGGGGTGATGGGATGGGAGTCGAAGGATATGCCGATAGCGATGCCCTTCCCTCGTTCTTACCTTTGGCGGGCCTCCTGGGGGGTTCCTCGGCGCCGCTGCTGCAGAGGTGTTTAGTTTTGACCCCCCCCCTGATCTCTCGGCGGCGAATAAAGCTGCTAACAAGGAGGTGGAGGAAGAGGAGGAAGGGGAGGAGGAGGAGGAGGAGGAAGAATTGGGAGGAGAGGAGGAGGAGGAGGAAGGGTAGGAAGTGGAAAGACAAAATGAGGAGATCAAGGACAGGGGGGGTTCTGTGAAGGCCAGGCCCTGGCGCGTGAGAGTGCAATGAGGGGCAACCAACGCGGTTCAAAGCTGAAGCCTTGAGGCTCTTCTTGGGGCGCCCAAGTCAGTGCAGCCTGAGCATGGGGCCTGGCGCTAAGGCCGAGGGCGCGGCCGTCTGCGAGGCCGTGGTGAGCAGCGACGACGGCGCGGACGCGCGCGTGGCGAGTTCTGTATTGCCCCCCAGGAAAAGTCGCCATATTGGCATGGAAACTAAAAAAGGGAAACCCTAACAGTGACCAACCGGACTTCGGGTGACACGCCTGCGCGTGGGTCTCCCGACCGTGCGCGCGCGCGGACGCGCGCGTTGCGAGTGCTGCATTGGCCACACTGGAACAGTCGCAACATTGCCCTGGAAACTAAAGTGAAACCTTAACGGTGACCCGCCGGATTTCGGGTGACCCGCCCGCGCGCGGGTCACCCGATCGCGCGCGCGCGCGTGGATGCGCATGTCGAGTTTTGCACTGCCCACAATGGAAAATTTGCCATGTTGGTCTGGAAACTAAGGTAAACCCTTAACGGTGACCACGGCAGAACACACAGGAGCACAGCAGAACACAGGAGCACGGCAGAACAGAGGAGCAGGAGGACCACGGCTGGGAACAACCAGGAGCATAGCAGAACACACAAAAGACATAGGATCACGGCAGAACAAGCAGCAGCGCGGCAGAACACACAGGAGCGCGGCAGTACACATAGGAGCATCCGTAGCCATTTTGGCTCAAGCGAGCCTGGCTGGCGGCCTTCCCTCGGGCGCGCGCGCTCGCTAGCGGCCATGGGACATTCTGGATGCGGGGCAGCCTGGGCGGCAGCCTCCGCCCGCACGCTTGCGCGGCGGCTGCGGCGGGAGCATCGGCGTGCCATCTGGGAGTCGCGGGCGGCGGCGCTGGCGTGGCGTTCGGCCGCCCTCCGCCGTTCCCTGGAGGCTCACTGGCAGCTCGCCGACCGCGTGGGCGCCCACGCTCCCAAGTTCGGGGAGACGATCGCGGCCGCGCGGGTCCTCGGGGTCAAGGACGGCCTCCAGGAGGCGCTGGAGGACATCGCCTTGGGGAAATGAGCGCGGCACGCCCCGCCGCCTGGGCAGGCGCGGCTGCGGCCCGTGCCCGAGGCGACGCAGCTGCCTCCTCCTGGTGCGATCCTGGCGATCGACCTCGAGGCGCAGTTGGCTGCAAGGGCTTTGCAGGTTTCGCCCGCGCCGAGCACTGGCGACGGCGAGGGCGACGACGGCTCGGACCTCTCTGCCTTCGAGCGGAGCCTGGCGGCGGGGCTCGGGGGCAAGACGGGGCAGGACGAGCTGGAGAGCGTGGGCGCGGCGTGGGAGAGCGACGTCGCTGTCGAGGTCTGCGTCGCCGAGGCCGCCGCGGAGCCCTGCCATCCCGCGGGGCCACGGGCGCGCCGGCGGTCAGGCGCCCTGCCGTGCCGGTCGCGGCGCACGCCGCTGCGGGGCGGGGCCGTGCTGTACGTCCCCCTCAGCCTGCGGAGCTGCGTGGCGACCGCCGAGTCGGTGGTCGAGGCGTTGGGCTGCGGGCCCCTGGCTCCTGCGGACAGGGCAGGCTATGCGCCGCTGCCTCCCGTCTTGGGACATGCTCGTGCAGAGCGTGGTGCTGGCGGTCGTGCCAGCGTGGACGGCATGGCTGATGCCAGCGATGCTGGCTCTTCGAGGCCGTCTACGCGTGGGCCTGTTGAGTATGCCGACGACGTCGTGCCGCACCTGGGCGGTAGCTGCGTCGTCAGCGACGACATCGTGCATGGGGCCCTTGGGAGGCTCGGCAATCGAGCACGCCGTCGGCATGGAGCCCCTGGTCGCGGACTCCGTCGGCTGCACCGCGGGCGATGGCCACTCGGGCTCGGAGTGCGGGTTCGCTTCGTTCCTGGACGACTTCTCGGTGGCGGCGGTGGCGCGTGCGGCCCAGGGGCCGAAGTCGGGAGTTGAGTCGCTCCTGGACTGGGCCGAAGCCCGCGCCCTCGGCGTCCGCCTCGGCAGTGCAGGTTGCCCAGATGCCCAGGAGCGCGCGCGGCTCCTCGATGGTCTCTTGGTCCGTGCGCGTTGCACGACGCGGCCCAAGAGTAGTGCGTGAGGCGGGCAGTTGCATTCTGTATGTTGATATGTTCTCGCCTTGTGGTGCGGCCGCGGTGGAGGCCCAGTGCGGCCCCCGCGGGGAGAGGCAGCCCTAGGCGGCCCCTCTCGCGAGGGCGTGTCTCGGGTGGCGCTCGGTGCCCCTGGAGGCCCCTCGGCCCCTTTAACGCCTTGAAGGCCCCGTCTTTAACTTTAACTTTACACATCGGAGCATGGCTGAACACATATGTGCACGGCAAAATTGACGGCAGAACACGCGGGAGCACGGCAGAACACATAGGAACACGGCAGAACACGCACGATCACGGGGAGCTCGGCCGAATACAGAGAGCACATAGGAGCACGGAAGATCACGCAGGAACATGGCAGAACACATTGGACTTCGGCAGATCACACAAATCACACAAGACCACGGCAGAACGACCAGCAGCACGTTAAAACGCACAGGAGCACGGCTGTACACACAGGAGCACGGCAGAACACATAGGAGCACGGCGGAGCAGGACCATGGCAGCATACACAGGAGCACGACAAACACACGCACAGGAGCACGGCAGAACACGTAGGAGCGCGGCAAAACACATTGAACATGTATTCACACAACCGCACCCGCAGGGGGCACGCGCACATAGGCACACGCACATAGATACATGCACACGCACACGCAGACACATACACACACACGCACACACACACACACGCACGCACATACACACGCACGCACGCACACACACACACACACGCACACACAAAGAGGCAACATCCGTTCACGCTGACCGCAGGAGCACGGCAGGGCAGCACGGCATAACACAGCGCGCGGACACACATGCACATTTTCCACGCACGCGCGCGCACGCGCAAACGCACGCACGCCGCGACAGACTTGCGCAGCGCATACCAACAACGCAGGATATCTCATAAGCCCAGGACACAAAAGGACGCTTCCCGTTCTTGTCTTGTCAGGTTGGGCTGAGCAAACCATTCGGCTTCCAGCGGTGGTGTAAAACATCCGGGCCAAAGAGGGACGTTGATGCATGAGTGTTTTTGTGGCCCCCCTAACGACGAAGCTAGACACATCCGCTCTTCCTGTCGAGTGGACTGGCGCAGTACCTTCTCGGGTGCCGAGGGGTGTCGTTGTTGTTCAGCGATATGAGACATTTCCGCCAGCTCGGGATTCCTGGCGCTGTCGCCTGTGGGGGATTACTGACGGGGTTCCGGAGGGGGTTAATATGACCGTGGATGATTTCTGGACTTGGATAGCAGTGGCAGCCCGAACGGAAATTCAGGACGCAGAGGACTTAACAAATTACGAGCTGGGCACCTTTCGTGCCAGCGGGGCGCCATACATTGCTCACTCACCAGGATGATTGAGATTGGCTTGCGACTGATTGGCTGATTGGACCACCATTACCGAACGTTTGCAGAAGTACGCGCTTCGTCGCTACTTTGTTACAGTTGGTTGGACTTTGGCAAACGCTCACAAAGGCCGCCGCCAGCTCATCCAGCCCAATATCATGCTGTCCGCCTGCCGGCGTCCAGACACTGGAGTATTGGACCGGTGTCGACGGCCTCGACTCCTCTACCGTGGAGGCGGTCTTACGACAGCCTCGAGCAGATATTGCCGAAGGTGCGTCGCCAGATCCCGAGCTTGATTCACAATTGCCAGCCCGCGCGCGCTCCATGGGACAGCTTCAAAGTTCAAGGCAGCTGCGCTCTCTTCAGCAAGCATTGGTTTGACTGGGGCCTTCGGCCTGGCGAGCCTCACACGCTGGAGCGCTGCGGGCAGACAGAGAGGTCGCCTCTGGTGGGTCGTTTTCCAGCGCCCAGGAGGATCGAGTCGGCGGCCCCGAGGCTGAACGAGTCCATGGCGACAGTCGAGCGGCGGGCACGTTTCCTGGGGCGCGCAGTGAAAGCGTTCCTGAACCCGGGGCAGCCGCTTGCCAAGGACGTGCCTGAGGAGAGGGATATGGAAGAGATTGCCAAGCGCACTCCCGCGATGGATCTCGCGATGAGCCCGCTCAATCAGGCCTTGCGGCGGCACCCTGATTATTCCGGCCACCATCTGGTGAAGGACGAGTACTTGGGCGAGATATCCATCGGCGACCCACAGGGCAACGGCAAAAACGTCATGAAAGCGACGAAAAACAGCTCAGGGAGCCCAGAATCTAAGACAGTTGTGGCGGAGCTGGTGTTATGAAACATATCGCAGAAGGAGGCATCCAAGATCTTCGAGGACGCAACAGGAGCTCATGCGAG